ATTTTTTGCAAATTTAATATAGGATTATATTAATCTACCTATCTTCAACCACAGTCTAAGTCACTCCTTGTAAGAAGTTGGTGAAAAAATTATATGTGGGATTTTGTCAAAAAAGATTACTCTCATTATTTTTATCCTGCTAAATTCCTCCCTGAAAATATTAGTGTGGGGAGGTACAGGGTACAGTAATTCTTGGATTGGCACTGTCTCTCAAAATATGACTCACTCCTCTATAATTCTTTTCTTACAAACCCATTAACTTGTTAAGAAATTCAACAAATCACTCTTGAAACTGGTTAAATAAAAATACAAAAATGAGTAATTGCCTAGTGAAGGTCACAAACAGTAAACTTTTCTTGTTATGTTTCAAACACGTAGAGATAACTACTGATTGTTTCATATCTGCATGCTAAAGCCCACTCATATCAATACAGTAATTTAGTTAAGTCAATAAAACATAGAAAAGCCATCTATGATTATCATAAATTATTACCACATTGGAGATTTTAGGTGAATATACCCACCAAACTACTGCTGTTGAGTTAATTCCAATTTATGAGTTAATTGGTAAAGTGGAGAGTCGGAGAAAAAGAGGAAGACTTTGGTGACTCCATAATACAGAGTTGGAAGAATGCTGAGACTTTCTGCTCCTGAGAAGATTTAAAGCCTTGGAAACCCAATACAGGGTCTCTATGAGTCGGAACCGACTTAGAGGCATTTAACAACAAAATCAATAATAGAGAGTAGAACTGCCCCACAGCATTTCTAAGGCTATAAATCTCTTATGGAAGCTGACTGCCATGTTTCTCCTGAAGATCAGCTGGTAGGTCTGAACTACAGATATTTCTGTTAGCATCTCAGTGTTTTAACCCTGTGTCACCACGGCTGCTTAGGTGAATATGTTGTTGTTGTTAAGTACCATCAGGTCAGTTCTGACTAACAGCAATCCTGTATAGGGTTTTCAAGGAGTGGGTGGTGAGTTTGAAACATCGACCTTGTGGTCCAGTGCATTATTGCGATCCATTGCATTATTCCACAGTGCCACACCAGGACTAGGTGAATATGTTGTTGTTGTTATGTGCTGTGGAGTCGATTCTGACTCATAGCGACCCTGTACAGGGTTTCCGAGAGCCTCATGTTTCTCTCGCGGAACAGCTGGTAGTTTCGAACTGCTGACCTTGTGGTTCGCAGCCCAATTCGTAACCACTACACTACCAGAGCTCCTTTAGAGTGAATATAGATAATATCAAATGATGAGCCATTTTCTCTCTCTCTCTTGACAATTACATAGAATTACCTCTATGAGTTGAATTTCTCAGAGAACATGCTTGTACTTGGAGCCAGCAACAACCACTAGATCTAAAAAACAGGTTCATCATTTATAGCCAAATGCTATCTATTTCACTTATTTCAATATAGAGAGATTTCTTTATCTTTGAGCTGACAAAAGATTGGTTGTTTCTTTGGAATGGTAGCTCCCAAACTTCTTTACCTCACCAAGGCACACTTGAAAGATACCATCCATAAGTTTCATGCACTCCTTTGAGCCTCAATCATTCCTTAGGGTCTGCTCTATAAATACAATATGTCACCAGTTATGCTAGAGCCTAAGTCTCTGGTCAATGGAATTTCAGTTCCTTTCTTTTCTACTACTGATCTAAATGGGATCTGAGAACCACTGAGTCAGATGGCATTTACAATGGATACAAGCAAGGTCAATCTAATGTGTATTCGAGAGAGTACCATCTATGGGAAATGATATTATGAGCATTGAGAAGTTCTACTATGCCCCCGAAGTACTCCATCACCATTTGTAGACTTGTATATGAAATTAATGAGAAACCAAGAGCTAATAGAGCCTAGAAGCAATGATACAAGCATACTTAGATCTTGGTTTCTAGTACAACAAAAGGAACCAGAGCTTCAGGAGAAATGGATCATTTAAGGACTGGGGCTTTAAATATACAAGATGAGCTTATAGTGTTAGAAATTAAGAAAGTGCTGAAATGTAAGCATTTAATTTAAAAAATTAAGAAGAAGAAGAAAGAAAGAAAATACATCACAATGATGGTAGCAAGGTCAAAGGGAAACTGAAAGAGCGCTCAATGGGCAAAGCTAAAACAACTTGAGCAAAACAGTAAAGCAGTATTAGATTACAATCCAAAGTTTGTAGTACCTAGGAGTACATACTGACCCAAATAAATGACTGAATAAATAAATAAAACAGAGAGGAGACACATCCCCCATGCAGAAGAATAAAAAATAATTTATGTGATGTTGTTGTTGTTAAGTGCCGTCAAGTCCATTCCAGCACATGTTGACCTTGTACAGGGTCTGAAGAATAGCTGGTGAATTTGAACCATGGACCTTGTGGTTCAGTCTAGTGCTCATCCTACAGTGTCACACCAGGGCTCTACTTTTAAAGAGGTGGAGCATAACTCCCTAGCCCTTACCATGGACTATGAATAGTGGCTTTTCTTCCATAGAGTCCAGTATGGAAAGGAAGAAAGACAAACATTTTCTCAAGTCAGGTAATCAAGGTCAGCATCAACTTTAATAAGTCATAATGATTGATATGATGTAATAAGAATGGTATTTTACCCCTGTGATCTTCTTCTTCAAAACACATTACCCGAGACTAACCATGAGAAAAATATTAGATTAATGTCAGTTGAAGGACATGCTATAAAATACTAGTTATACTGTCAAGGTCATCAAAAACAAGGGAAGTCTAAGGAACGATCACAGCCAAGAGTAATCTAAGGAGACATGACAATTAAAGGCAACATGATTATCTGGATGGTACTCTGGAACAGAAAAAGAACATCAGGAAAAGATGGAGGAAATATGAAAATAACTGAGTGTGTATTTGAACCACAAGATAGGCAGTTCAAACTCGCCAGCTGCTCCTTGAAAACTCTACACAGTGCCGCTGTGAGTCAGAACCAATGGCACTTAGCAACAACAACAGCAACAACACTGGTTCATTGAGCATGGTGGCTCCATACAGTAAGTACTGGACTGCATACCACAAGGTCAGTGGTTCGAGTCCATCACCCACTCTGTGGAAGAAAGATGAGGCTTTTGGCTCCCGTGAAGATGTAAAATCTTGGAACCCCTATACAGGGTCAACATGAGTCGGAATGGAGTTGATGTCACTTAGCAACAAGAAAAATTGGCTCATTAAATGTAACAAATACACCATAATTATATAAGCTGTTAGTAATAAGGGAACTCTGTATTATTGTTGCAGTAACTCTGTAATTCTAAAACTGTTCAAAAATTAAGAAGTTGATTATAAAACAAATAAGGTAAAGGGAGAAGTATATTTTAGATTGACATGTTTTAATGAGGGTGGAGGCTGGGGAGGGGGTGAGCAGAGAAAGAGTAGCAGAAGTCTTGAGAATATAGGATTCTAATGTTAACCACTGAAAGAGAATTATTCCCACTTCCCAATTTTGCCAAGGTCTGCTCACATAGGAAACAATATTGTTCATGACTAAAGGTATAATCAGAATGACTGCTGCTTCTGCCAAGATCCTAGGGATCTGCATACCACCTAGGATTTGCCCATCACAGATGAAACTCATTTGTTAGCTCCTGTAACAGCCCTCTCTCCTCAGTCATTCTTAAAGCATCAGGAAGGTTCTTTATCTATACACCCACTTGTTCTCCTGCCATTTTGAACAATGAGGTTGCACAAGGAGCTTCCACAAACTTTTGATAAAGAGGAGACCTAGGTTTGACATCAGAAAAAAAAAAAAAAAAAAAAAGTCCACAGGAGACAAAACCAGGAAGGCAAAACCAGGAAGGGGCTGCATTTGCAAGACATTAAAATGAAACAGTGGTATGCAGGCCTCTAGTGAGCAACATCAGAGACTCACAAAATGGCAGAATTGAAAGATGGTTTAAAGGGCATATCAGATACCTACTTCAATATCTAATACAGTCTATCTGAGATGCTATATCCTAGATTCTAGTACTTGTCTGCAGGGAGGAAAAGAGGACATATTATATAATCCCAAGAAACCTGGATAAAAGAGGTTTGCAACTGACTGCTAACCTAAAGATTGGCAGTTCATACCCATCTAGCATCTCCTCAGTAGAAAAAGCCTAGAAATCTGCTTCTGTAATGATTACAGTAAGAAAACACTATGAAGGGGGAAAAACAAACAAACAAAAAATAACCCTACGGCACAGTTCTACTTTGTAACACATGGGTTGCCATGAATTGAAGATCAACTTGATGATACCTAACAACAACAACAAGCATAAAACACATTGCTTTTCATTATATGCATCTTTCAATCAGGAATTGTGTCTATGATATCTTCTCAGTATAGTAACCAAAATGACTATGTATTTACTGGACTCTATGTTGACTATTTTGGAGTCCTGGTGTGGTGCTGTTAAAATAAGCACTTCACCACAAAGTCGGCAGGTCAATCTCCTCAGAAACTCTATACTGGGTTGCTGAGGGTCAGAACCGACTTGAGGACACTTAAAAACAACAACAACAATGTGTTGATTATTTAAACATAGTAGACTCAAATTCACATTGTTAATTCTATGGAAAAATTCATAGCAATTCCCAGCACTGCTTGAAGCTATTTTCCATTAACAAGAAAAGTAAGACCTTGGCCCAAAAGAAGTTTTAGGTTATTTACATTGCAATTTATCAAGATCAAAGAGTCAACTGGTTCTATGAAAATCTTGGACTATTATAATACCCTGCGGTGGGAATCACAAGCTTTCTACATCAAATGAGCACACATTTGTAGATGGAAGTAAATGGGAGTCCTGGTTTTTGAAACTCTGATAAGAAATTGCTGATGTGATTCTAATAACTAATTTGAATTAAATTTACTTAAGCTGTACATATACAGCTATCTTGCAAAAACATTTCCACTGTAGAAGGTGAAGCACATCTGTACACACTCTCACTCCAATCAAAAGACTACCAGCTCTGTGACTAAGCAATATTTCCACACAACACTCACCGTAAAACACAAGTGTAGAATCCACTGTCTTGTGCCTCAGCTGAATGAAACCATATTGAGTCTTCTTCTTTGCTCATCCTGACCTCTGAAAAGATGATGGGCTCTTCCAAATCACCTTTGTTTTTGTACCACATGAGCCTGAGCCCAGTGCTCTGAGCCATGCTATAGTTGGTGCGAATATAACTGTAGAAAAGAGCACATTTCACTCGGACTGGTTCACCTGCCAATGCCATGTATGTCTTGAGATCCACTGACCAGTCAATGCAGCCATCCACTGAAAGAAAATCAAAGGAGGCATGAGATGGAGTAAGCATTGTTGATAGTAGAGCAACAATCATTGCCAGTGTACACTGAGGACTTACTGTGAGATAAGTGTTACCTATTGCTTCATACAGATCATTTCATTCAATTTTCCCAGTGACTCTAGGAGATACAGGCCAGTACCCTTTTTAAATCTGGGTAGTAGGGCCCCTGCCCTGGCCCTTTGTGGGTATTTTCCAATCCTCTATTCCTTGGAGTTCAGTAGGTAGGTCCTCCAGAGAATGTCATGGGGTTGTTCCACTCTAGGTCCCAATTCTGGGATAGTTACCATATAGTATTTCCTTCACAGGACCTCGTGAGATTGGACTGCCAGAATAATGGTGACATGTCAATTTTAGGTGACTCAAATTATTTTATGCACGGGGCTTCAAAAATTGTAGGGAAAAAATGAAATGAAAAGATAATGGATTCCTCTATGAATAATTTGAAGTCCCTTCATATAGAAGGGAGCCCCACAAAAATATTTGCCCAGGACCCTCACATAGTTTAGGGTCTACCTGAAATTGATGTCTTTATAATTCCTATTTTATAAGAGTCTCTGAGTGGTACAAACAGTTAAAGTACTCAGCTCCTAACTGAAAGGTTGGAGGCTCAAGTTCACACAGAAGTGCCTCAGAAGAAAGGCCTGGCAAACTATGTCTAAAAATCAGCCATTGAAAACTGTATGGAGCTCAGTTCTATTCTGACACAAATGAGTTAGAATTGACTTGATAGCAACTGGTTATTTTGCAGATAAGGAAACTGAGTTTATACAAGTTAAGTGAGTCTGCCCAATGTTACATCAATTTTATATATATATATATATATATATATATCCTCTCTCTATAATTGTGACAGGAACCAGAACTTTACTTATATGCCTTTGAGAAAGTAAATGCCTAGGTTGAAAGCAGTGGGCACTAAAAGTGATTATTTGCTATTGTCTACATGCCAATTTCCCATGGAATGACCTATTAATAGCAGATTATTTAAGCATCCATTGATTTCTCCTTATACCCTTAGGCATCCTTAACTGCCCTGCTGGTGTGTGCTCATGGGGATATATTAACGTCAACTTTAATAATATAATATTAGTAGGGTACGTTTATCATTAAAAAAAGACACATACAGTAAATTCCTTCTTTTACAGAGGGTTGGAAATAAGGCACTGTGGCTAACTTAATATACAATCAATATAACTAGCATAGAGATCCCACTTCAAATTGTTTAGTTTCAAAGAATTTCATCATATTATGTTATAGCACTTTATATTACTTGATTACTCTTTATAAAACAACCTTTTCATAAAATGTATAAAGATTGCCATTTAAAGATTATGTTTCTTTCATTAAATTTGGGAACTGGTATGAATTTTATTTTAAACACTAACAACTCTGCAATTCAATGTAACCCAGCTCAAAGCTAAATGTAAGTCTCAAGTGTAATAACCATCATGCCTTGGAGGATTGCACAGACTTTTTACCTTGAGGTTCAAGGCTACCCAAGGGGAACATGCCTGGATAGGTTTCAAGCTTGTTGGCAAAACAGGGTGCCTATTTGCCTACGTACTCTTTTCTGGAAAGATTTACCACAGGTCTTTCTATGAGATCTTCAAAGGAGCGATGACCCAGGAAAGTTTCTGAACTCAGTGGCTTCTGATCTCTCAGACTACATTTTTCACTGGACTTCTGGATGGATATGTACATCTATTATAAGCTGCTGCAAAGTCTTTTATAGCATATGAGGTATAAGAAATAAACAAACCCTCAAATAAGCAGCTGATTTTATATTTAGTACTGAAGAACATTTGAATGTTCTTTGAAGATTCAGAAGGCACCAGATTCATCACAATGGATTTCGATTATCTTTTCATACTATCAAAGCCAAGAAGGTATATTGGATTCCACTAAATATGTATTGCTTGCTCACAGAGAGGAATCTTCATTAATCAAACTTTCTGGGTTGTGGTAAATTGCTAGTGAATCATCTAGGGATTAAATGTAATTGTAATTTGAGTGTTTTTATTACCTTTAAGTAAACTTTACATTATTCCTTTATTATGAATGTGAAGTTTTTCACATGGATTAGCACAATTCAGAGGTAACAATATAACTACATATTTAATTTTTTTTCTTATAGCTTCATTTTTTTGTGATTGTTGTTCAGTGCCATCGAGTCGATTCCGACCCATAGCGACCCTGTATAGGGTTTCCAAGGAGCAGCTGGTAAGCTTGAACCGTTGACCTTGCAGTTCAAACGGCTTTGCAGTCTGGCGCATTAACCCACAGCACCACACCAGGACATAAGCACCATCAAGTCAGTCCCAACTCATAGTGACCTACAGCGCCACACCAGGACTCCAATAGCTTCATTTAAAAGGTTAATTAATAGAAACATATAAAAACATGGCAATAGCAAACAAAGACTCTTTACTGATACTTTTTGTTCTTATTTTTCCTTAACCCTAAGATACACAGTCCTTGTGTGGCACTATAAGATAAGCACTGGACTGGTAACCACAAATCTGGCAGTTTAAACCCACTTTGGATTTGCAATGTGTCAGAACCAATTCAGTGGAACTTAACAACAATAGCAATATGCATAGCAAGACTTTCTTAATTAACTAATTTGGATACACAAAGTAGCCTCAACAACAATAATCCTCTCCCTGATAGAAAAATTATTTTTTTTCCAGTTCACTCCCTGAATCCACTTAGTTGCTACTTCTAAACAATCTATTGCATAATCTACACCTTTCCAATATATGCAGACTGGTTGGGTCCATTAGTGACAAGGTATACTTGGTATTGAAAATAATCAAAATATCTGTTCCTGAGTCACAACAATCATGCTCAATGGCAGTGTAAGACATTTAACTGCCATTACAATTAGCTTTATCATACAAACCCAAAGAGTGCACTGTGAAAATTTTCCATTTGAGTACTGTCTGAGTTAACATGTATTTTATTTAGTAGATTTATGGTCCCCTTTCATTTTGTTCCCTTGATTTAGGTAGTAGAGAGAGAGTATTAGTTATATGGTAGTCAATAGTCAGAGAAAAGAAATGCAATAATAGAGAAATGATTTCTAAATGCCATCCTTTTTTTTCCCCACTTAGTACTCCCAGTACAAGGTAATAAGCATATTGAATATCAAGACACCTGAGGGGATTTTATCACAAAATAGACGAAGATTATGATACCAGGGATCCATGAAAGCCCAACTGCCCCCAAATTTAAGTATGGTTTCCCATACTTAATTTCCATCAGTCAAGGCATGAGAACCATATATCTAGAGCATATTAGATTACTATAGAGTCCAACAAGTTGGTAGGATTTTTAAATTGGATCATGACTCTAGCAAGGCAAACTAAGAATGGGACAAGGAGGGATGGAATAAGATATAGTGCATGTATTTGTAGACTTGAGACTAATGATGCAGCTAAGAAAAAGATCAGAGACCAGAACGGTGGCAAAGCCGCATGGAGGGATTGAACATCTTGAGGTTAAGAAAGAAGCTATGAGAAGAGGCAGGAAGAGGTAAAAGGGCACCTACAACCCCATTTTCCAAGAGTCATTTCAGGAACCAAATATGTTGCCATCAGAAGCCATGCACATGAGTCACATTTCTGTTATGAGGAGTATGCAGTAAATAGGATGCCATACTTTGGGGAGTCCTTTGCATGTTGTTGCTGCTCCATATGTATTTAGCAAATAATTGAGTGAATAGATGTGTGATATAGCTGACAAGGGTATAGAATCTGGCTAGGTTGACCACAACACGGAGTTGAATAGTCAACAGAGGGAGCCAATCTGTGAGGCTGACCTCATTAGCCCAGGCTTCTAAACCACAAAGTCATCCAGTCCTATTCTGTTCACAACTCCAGTGACACCTGTTTAAGCAGGTCCCTGCAGGGTTCCTGGGAAAAGTGGTTTTCTGACAAATTGTCTTCTACCACAGGTGGTCTGATAACTGGGTTTTGCTGACCAGACACAAGTGTAAACAGAGGCACTACAGGAAGAAAGACACCCCTCTCTGCACAAAGAAAAAAGGTGAAATTCTAAAGTCGAGCTGAAATTTTCCACAGAGCAAACACATCGGCACTATAAGTGAGTATGTGTCTGTCCTTTGCTTCATGATGAACATGGTTTTAGATTTTCTTCTCACTCCAAGTACATAAGAAAACACGTATTTCTAACTTATCCTGTATCTCTCCATTCCTGAATTTTATGAATAGCACTTTGAGGATTTTAAAGAACAATTGTGTTTCTTTGGATTCTCATCTCTACTCCCTTGATTTTGATGTCTTTTAGAATTACAAAGTTATTATTCTTTGTTTAGTCTTGCTGGCAGAAATGCTTGAATATCTGAGTTATCCAAAAGAATTATAATGGAGCACAGGAAGGCACTTCAATAAAACTGTTCTCTAGTTTAATCTTTCATTTCCATCTGCAAAACAAGTGTTTGCTTAGGGAGTTTGACATGAAGACTCATAAAAGAAGTATATAAATTGTATATAGGGACATGCCAGTATCTGTGCAATTTGTTTAAGCAGGAGGCGATTCCTAGGGGAAAAAAACAAGTGGAGTGTTCTGAAAAGTGCCCTGGGTGACCTGAGTAAACTCATATAGCCTCTGTTCCTCCTCAATCTATCCAGGAAAACAAATCCTGGCACACCTACCTGCTGTGAAAACAGAAGAAAGCAACACAAAATCCAGTGAAGAGTTTACAAATTCTTATAAGAGGATAAGATATTATTAAAAATGATTATACTATTATTGTAGTACCAATGTATCAATGTTAAGAAAACAAAAATCCTCACCACTGGACCAATAAACAGCATTCTTATCAATGGAGAAGATATTGAAGTTGTCAAGGACTTCATTCTTCTTGGATCACCTGTCAACACTCGCGGAAGCAGCAGTCAAGAGTTCAGACGACGTATTGCATTGGGCAAATCTGCTGCACAGGAAC